CTTCAGTCCACAGGCCGATGCTCTATCCACTGAGCCAAACTGGTCAGGGCAGTACAAATGAATTTAAAGTACTGTAGTGTTTGGGGATGTTTCAGACAATTGTCTCTTAAAACAAATATGAGATCAGAGGATTCCGCTTATAGCGAATGGTTAGTAAAACTTGGAGATGGCAAACTTGATAGCAGTTTTCATTTAGGAATGGATATTATTGAAATCCCCCATGAAATGGTTTGTAACAGATCTATTATTGAAGCCACCTTTGGAAATAGTATATCTATAGATAATATTAAAAATATATCTAAATGTGATTCTTTGTCCTAAAAATGAGCACGTTCATAAATTAAATGAAGAAATTTTGGATATACTCGATGGAGATTTTCACACCTGTTTGAGTGATAATCCCATCGATTCAACTGATGATGTTGAAAAGGAAAATTTTCCCATCGAATTTCTTAATAGTATCACTATTTCGGGAATGCCATGTCATAAATTAAAATTGAAAGTGGGTGCAATCATCATGCTACTGAAAATCTTAATAGTAAATGGGGTCTTTGTAATGGTACTAGATTTATTATCAAAAGATTGTGACTTTACATAACCGAAGCTGAAGTATTAACAGGATCTGTGGAGGAGAGGTTGTTCAGATTCCAAGAATTGATTTGTCCCCATCTGATGCTGGCCTCCCGTTTGAATTAATTCGAAGACAGTTTCCCGTGATGCCAGCATTTGCGATAACTATTAATAAATCACAAGGATAAACTCTAGACAGAATAGAAATATTCCTACCTGAACCCGCTTTTGGACATGGTCAGTTATATGTTGCTTTCTCTCGAGTTCGAAGAGCGTGTGATGTTAAAGTTATAGTTGTAAATACTTCATCACAAGGGAAATTAGTAAAGCACTCTGAACGCGTTTTTAATCTTAATGTGGTATACAGGAAGATATTAGAATAAGTTTAATAAATTTATCAGTCATTGTTTTTATCAATGTTGTTTTTATATCATGTCTTTGTTGTTATGTTATTGTTTATTAATCAATTTCTATATTATTTTCATATACATTTTACTAATTTTCTTTAATCTCTGACACTTCTATTATAGAGAAAGGGCGAATAGCGATATTAAAACATTTTTTCTAGTTAATTTCCTTTCAGTGTGCACGAATCTGTGCACCAGGCCACTAGTTAATAATGATATGATGATAGCTTTTTGAAATATATATTTGTACCAGTTAATTTATGTTTTCTCATTTAATTTTTATATCAGCACTGTGAGGAAAATTGAGCAGATATTAGTCCCATTTTACACATAAGAAAATTGAAGCTAGAAAATATTAGATTATTTGACTATGGTCATACTGCATGTAAATAGTGGAACCATAATTTGAGCCTACTTCTAAAATTGAGTGAATATGGATTCATGATTATAAATGGGGGAAAAAGAGAGCAAAGGAATGGCTAAGAAAAAAATGTTTTCTTGTTGGCTGGTGAGGAAAAAACAAAGTTACTGTGCAAAAGAAAATAGATTTTATTATTCAATACGCCTGGCATCAAAATATCTTCCTTTAAATAGTCAACCTACAATTGGGAAAATATTAAATTATCTTAAACATTTTTGTATTTTATCTACTAAAGAAGCAAAGGAAATTTAAAATTCAAATTAAAAAAAATTGTTTGAAAAACCTTTAACAATATAAACCAGTACAGAGTGAAAATTAAAGTATTTACTCTTAAAATATTGCTCCCACACCTTTTTCTGCCTCCCACAAGTAAACAGCATAAACACTTTTATGAGAATCTTTCTGAATTTTTGTATAAATTTACAACAGATATTTTTTATGGTTCTGTTATAGTTTACATTTTTAAAAAACATTTAACCCTCTTATTTATAGGGATTTATTTTAATATATGTATGAGGCCAGGCTCTAACTGTATTCTTTTCCAAATAGATGATCAGTTGTAGTAGAGTCAGCTAAAGTAATTTTTCCTGATATGAAGTTTTGCTATTATCATATACCAAATATATACTTGAATTGGTTCCTGGACCTTTTTTTGTTTCTCTTTAAATTTTTATTTTTTCAAAGTATGTATGTATTTTATCAGAGTCAAAGATTTCTACATGGCTTCCAACAAAAAGTAGTAGACCCTGCATTAGTTCTATTTTCCACCAGTTTCCACTATCTGAAGTCAATGATTTGAAATCATTTTACCTGTTTATTCTGATATTTATTTATTTGTTTAAAAAGAACATGCTTAACTGCTTTTCTCTTGAATTTTTGGTTTTAGATACCTTCTATTGCTTTCTTACTATTTTTTTCTAATTTCTTCATTACTTCTTCCCCTTAACCTTTCACATATTTGGTGTTTACCTTATTGTAATTTTGTCTATATCATAAAAACGGAACCAAATGTTATACTGTTAAGAATTTTTTTCCACAAACCAGGTTTTATTTTTTTTTCTAGTGCTAATCTTTGTCTTGTCTTGTAATATATGCAATTTTCTATATACTTGTAATTGTTTATATCCAAACTCTGATAGAACTTAAAATCTGTCTGTTCATTCAAATGCATCAGGTCAAGAATGTCCTTTTTTTAGACTCTTGGCATTTAGTGGAAATAATGTTTTTATGTTGAATTAGATATTTTTTAATGACATTGATATTTTTGTGTATGAAAGATTACCTGTTTTTTAGAGAAAATTTGGAAACCATCAAAATGTATAATTAAGTTATTAACATTAATTCTGAATTCAACTATTTTCTCTGTCAAACCATGATATTTTACTTATCTATTCTTATACACACACACACACATAATTAGTTATCTATTGCTGTGTAACAAACCAACCATTTATTTAGCTTTATATTCTGGGGGTCAGCAATTTAGGCTGGGCTCAGCTGGGCATTTCTTCTGCTGATCTCAGCTGGGCCACTCATGCGTCTATGGTCAGCTGCAAGTCAGCAAGGCAGCTCTGCTACAGGGGGTTGGTTGGCAGTCCACTGGGACATGGGGTGGGTATCTCATCATCCAGCAGGCTAATCCTGGTTTATGTATATAATATCCCCAGGATTCCAGGAGCAGCATAAGAATAAACCCCAATGTACAAATATATTTTGAGCTCCTCATTGTGTCATGTTTGCTAATGTCTCAGTCACCAAAGCAAGTCACATGGCCAAACCCAGATTCAGGGGGTGGAGTTAACCTCTTGGTGAGAAAAGTTACAAAGTGCCCTGGGCGATTTGGTTCAGTGGATAGAGCATCGTGGATAGAGCATCGGCCTGAAGGGTCCCAGGTTTGATTCCGGCCAAGGGCGCATGCCTGGATTGTGGGCTGGATCCCCAGTAGGGGGGCATGCAGGAAGCAGCCGATAATGATTCTCTCTCATCATTGATGTTTCTATCTCTCTATGCCTCTCCCTTCCTCTCTGAAATCAATAAAAATATATTAAAAAAAGAAGGAAAAAAGAGTTACAAAGTGACCTTGCAAAGGCATATTTGTTTTGGGGTTGCTCTAGGGTTTATAATTTGCATCTTAAATTTATCACTGTACTTTCAAATATTTTACTTCATATATAATGTGTAAGAACCTTCTACCACTATGTTTTCATTTACACTCTCATCTTTTGTGCAATTTTGTTATATATTTTACCTCTCTATATATTATGAACCACACAGTATTTTGTTACTATTTTTGCTTTAAATCATGTTATTTTTCTTTAATTTTTTATTGAGATGATTTTTATAGAGCGGTTAAAGATCACAGCAAAATTGAAGGGAAGATACATAAATTTCCCATATAAGTCCTACCTCCATCATCAACATCCCCCACCAGAATGGTGTATTTTAGTATGGTGATGAATCTGCATTGACACATTACAGTCACCCAAAGTCCATAGTTTACATTATGGTTCATTCCTGGTGTTGTACATATAATGGGTGTGGACAAATGCATAATAACATGTATCCATCATTGTAGTATCATTCAGAGTATTTTTACTGCCCTAAAAATCCTCTGTGTGCTGGCTATTCATCCTGTCCTTGTCTCCCTGAACCCCTGCCAACCACTGATTTTTTAATTGAATTTATTGGGGGTGACATTGGTTAATAAAATTATATAGATCAATGAATGGGAGCTCCTGTTGCTCCACATTCTTGCCAGTATTTAGTGATGTCAGCTTTCTGGATTTTGGCCATTCTAATAGGTATGTAGTCTCCTTGTTTTGATTTGCATTTCTCTGATGACATTATGACATGTTATGTTGAGCATGTTTTCATTTGCTTATTTGCCAACTGTATATTTTCTTTAGTGGGGTTTTTAATTAGGGTGAAAAAGTGAGGTGTCTAATAGGTCTAAAAGGATTTAAAAAGTCATTTTTTAAAAATGGTTTGTTTTCTTCTTGTTGATTTTTAAGTGTTCTTTGTATATTTTGGATAACAGTCACTTATTAGATGTATTTTTGTAAATATTTCCCCCCAAGAGAATGTTGTTTGTCCTCTTATTCTCTCTTTTAAAAAAAATATGTTTTTATTTATTTCAGAGAGGAATGGAGAGAGTGAGAGAGATAGAAACATCAATGATGAGAGAGAATCATTGATTTGGTGCCCCCTGCACACCCCGAACTGGGGATCGAGCCTGCAACCGGGCATGTGACCTTGACCGGAATTGAACCCGGGACCCTTCAGTCCACAGGCCGACACTCTATCCATTGATCCATTGAGCCAGACCAACTAGGGCATCTTCTTATTCTCTTAACATTGTCTTTTGCAAAGCAGAAAATGTTAATTATAACGAAGTCCAGCTTATCAGTTCTATCTTTTATAGATCATACCTTTGGTGTTGTATCTAAAGCCACACCCAAGATTATCTAGGTTTCCTTATGCTATCTTCTAAGAGTTCAATACTTTTGTATTTTACATTTAGGTCTATGATCCATTTTGACTTAAATTTTTGTGAAGGGTGTAAGGACTGTGTCTAGATTCATTTCTTTGCATGTGGATTCCAGTTCTTCCAGCACCCTTTGTTGAAGAAACGAATTTTGCTCCATTTTATTGCCTTTGCTCCTTTATTCAAGATCAGTTGACTATATTTATGTGGGTCTATTTCTGAGCTTTCTCTTCTGTTCCACCAATCTGTTTGTCAATTATTTTACCAATACCACAGTCTTAATTACTGTACTTTATAGTAAGTCTTAAAGTTGGACAGCATAATCCTCCAATTTTATTCTCCTTCAATATTCTTTAGCTAATCTGGGTCTTTCATCTCTCCATGTAAACGTTAGAATTAGTTTGTCAATATCCACAAAATTAGTTGCTGGGATTTTCACTGGGATTACATTAAATCTATAGGTCAAATAGGGAAGAACTGACATCTTAACAATATTGAGTTTTTCTATCCATGAACATGGGATGTTTCTTCATTTATTTAGTTCTTCTTTGATTTTATTCATCAGAGTTTTGTAGTTTTCCTTATATATATCTTATTTATATTTTGTTAGATTTATTTATACCTAATTATTTTGAGGATACTAATATAATTGGTATTGGGTTTTTAATTTCACACTCCACTTGTTCATTGCTGGTATATAGGAAAGTAATTGACACTTTACATTTAATCTTTATATCCTGCAACCTTGCTATTAATCACTTACTTGTTCCAGGAGTTGTTTTTTTAATATATTTTATTGACTTTTTACATAGAGGAAGGGAGAGGGATAGAGAGTTAGAAACATCGATGAGAGAGAAACATTGATCAGCTGCCTCCTGCACACTCCCTACTGGGGATTTGCCCGCAACCAAGGTACATGCCCTTGACCGGATTCGAACCTGGGACCCTTGAGTCTGCAGGCTGATGCTCTATCCACTGAGCCAAACTGGTTAGGGCTCCAGGAGTTTTTTTTGTTGATTATTTCTAATTTTCTATGTAGGCGATCATTCCATTAGTAAAGACAGTTTTATATCTTTCTTCCCAAGTTGTATACCTTATGTTTCCTTTTCTTGTCTTATGGCATTAGCTAGAACTTTCAGTATGATGTTGAATAGGAGTGGTGGGAGAGGACATACTTGACTTGTACCTGATCTTAGTGGGAAAGCTTTAAGTTTCTCACAATTAGGCATGCTGGTTACAATTGTGTGTTTTTTTTTTAGATTTTTTTTTTTTTTTTTTTTTTTTTTTATCAAGTTGAGGAAGTTACTCGCTACTCCTAGTTTACTGAGTTTTTATTATGAATGGGTGTTGGATTTTGTCAAATGCTTCTTCTATTGACATGATCATATGCATTTTCTTTTTTAGACTGTTGATGTTTAGACATTAATTGATTTTCCAATGTTGAACCAGCCTTGCACAGTTGTGGTCTGAGAGCAGACATTGTATGATTTCTATTTTTTAAAATTTGTTAAAGTGTGTTTTATGGCCCAGAATCTCAGGTTCCATCTGAGCTTGCGAAGAATGTGTATTCTATTGTTGCTGGATTAAGTAGTCTATAGATGTCACTTATATCCAGTTGATTGATGGTGTTATTGAGTTAGACTATGTCCTTACTAATTTTCTGCTTGCTAGGTCCATCCATTTCTGATAGAGGAAGCATTTTCCCTAAAGTTTACAATTTTCATTGGCTAGAATAGATTCTGATTATTGGGATAGACTTCCGAAAGCAGGATGGCTAGGCTGGCAGGTGGACTCAAGAGCTTAGGATCTCATTGTTACTAAAAGAACAAGGTCATTCCTAAGGCAGTTCTGAAACAATCACATACTAATGTTCTCTCAGATGAGTAACTACAAATCAAAGTAAACAGTAGAAGAGTAGCTGACACATAAAAAGGTCACTGTCACCTCATGTCGAGGAAATAATTGAAGTAGCTCAGCAAATAATAAAATAAAAAGAAATGTTTCAGAACAAGCTGTTACATTCATTTGGTATCAATAAAATGGTCCAAAATAAACCAGAAGACCATGTCAAGTTATAGCTGTGTAAATGATGAAATCTGATATTTAATGTTTAAATTCAGCAGCTGAAAGAATCCCTTTGTAAAGATGAAAATGAAGTTTACATTACTCTGGAAAAATATGACCTACCAGTTAGAATTTGGATATTATTGTTACCTTTTCCTTCATGTCTACATCATGGTGATAAATGCTCATATTTCCTGGCACATTCTTCTCCATGTAATAGGGAAAACAGTGAACCTTTAGTGAAAATAGGCTGAATAGCTAAATGGCCTTCCGTTTTGAGGCAGTTATTTATATTCTGAAAGAGTGTAAGACCTTGAAGAAGAATCTCCTTTGCCACATGACCATCATAAAGGGAAAGGAATGGTGTATCCACTTGGGCACCAAGTTGTCCTTCTGTCATGGCTGGAGTTTCAGACAAATTGAACAGCAGTTTCAAAACTTGAATGTTGGTGCTTCTATTTCCTGAAAGCAACACTTCGAACAGGTCTGTAATGTAACTGTTAGGCATGTGCTGGTGGTCTTTGGTAACTGTCATGTTTGTTCACCATCTCAGTCCCACCAGTTGCACAGGGGAGTTCAGAGGACCAGAGAAGACATCGTCACAGACTTGATTGACATATACCTTTATCGTGAATTGATTTTTAACATTCACACTCAGGTTACTCAGTGTATTGAAAGCCTTCTTTTTAATATTGTGGTTGGGATTGTTGATTTTGCTACCAACAATTGGAATACCAACCAATTCACGAATAATGACTTGGTTAGCTGAAAAGGCTAATGTGACCAAATCTCTTTAAATAATTACAGGATCCTCAGTTGACTCAAGTAGATAAAGGAGTTCTGAAGTTGTTCAGCATTTAGAACAACATCATATGAACCATTGGTTAAGTCTTCTGCAAACTGGGAGGACGCAACCCACGACACATGACTTTCTCCCCTCTGGCCCCGTGTCAGCCTGTAAATGCAATAGCCCCTGAGGACCAGGCCACCCAGCCCCCATTCAGGGAGCCATCCATACTGCCTCTGGGGCTGGGGCATAGGTAAGGGCGTGGGAGGCTCTTGGGTGCAGGGATCTAGGAAGCAAGCAGGTCCCGCAGCCACCCTAGCTGCATCATGATAATTTGATATGTATATATAGATTGTAAAAGAATTCCCCCTATCTAGTTAATTAACACATCCTGTCAATAACTTCTTAAATGTATTTGTAAGTTGATTTTTAGGTAATTTATTTTTTATTTCTATATAATTGGGATTTTTTATTTTGTTACATTTTCTAATTAGTTGTGGTTTTATACAGTGGGGCCTGGACTTACTAGTTTAATTCATTCCGAGACCGAGCTCGTTAACTCAAATTACTCTGTCAACTCAATGCAAAAAATTGGCCGAGACAGCTGGTATCTAAAAAAACTCGTTAGTCAGGACACTCGTAAGTCAAGGCCCCACTGTATATGACTACTTATTTTTTTTTTTTACCAAACCACATTTATTATTTTTTTTGTACCAAACCTCATTAATGAATTCTTTTATTGTTTGTAATAGTTTCAAAGTTTTCTTATGTTTTCCAAGTATACAATCATATCTTTTATAAGTAGTGATCATTTTACCTGTTTTGTAATTTTATATATCTAGGGAAAAAGTATAAGTGTAATTATAGTAACAGATAGAATGATCATTTAATTTATTGTCCAAACCAGGACACTTTTGAGAATGAAGATGGTAGGGAGCATTATTAATTAATCTGAAACAACAGATGTATACTAGAAAATATGGTTATCTTTGTCTTGTTTGAGACCTTAATGGGAATGTTTCTAGTTTATCCCCATTAAGCATGATACTAGCTTTTGGGAGGGGGGGGAATATGTATATAGTAAGATATAATTTTTTGTCATAATAGAGAAGAATCATTTGTATATTACTTAGCATTTTTTTAAAATATATTTTATTGATTTTTTACAGAGAGGAAGGGAGAGAGATAGAGAGTTAGAAACATTGATCAGCTGCCTCCTGCACATCTCCTACTGGGGATGTGCCCGCAACCAAGGTACATGCCCTTGACCGGAATCGAACCTGGGACCTTTCAGTCCGCAGGCTGACGCTCTATCCACTGAGCCAAACCTGTTTCGGCTTACTTAGCATTTTAATCAAGAATGAATATTAAACTATAGAGATAAATACGATTTTTCATATTTTATTTTTTGATATGTTAAACTATATTAATAGATGTCCTAATCCTGAAAAGGATATATCCTTTTGTTCTTGGCTTTTTGGTTTTTTTCAGGTGTGTGTGTGTGTGTATACAAGAGTCCTGTTTGCTATTATTAGAATTCATTAGTGATGTCACTTGATATTTTTGGTGAGAGAAAGCTTATCTAGATTTGTTTTAAGATCATTGTTGTATTTGTTTTATAAAAAAGAATTTGTAAACTCTTCCTTATATTTAAAATCTTCTATTAAGGAAATTTTATACACAAAGCAGAAAGAGGACAGGATAGTGAACCTCCTTGTGCTCATCACATAGCTTTAACAGTTATCAATATTTTGCCATTTTACCTCTGTGTTTGTTTTATTTATCCCATGTCATTTTCTTCTTTTCTTTCTTTGGGGGGGATTGGTAGAAGAAAGTGTGGGACTGGGATATTTTAAAGAAACTAGAAGACATCATACCTATTTGTCCATAAATAATCTGTACTAATAAAAGAGAAAGATGCAAGTTGACCGTACCTTCACGATGTCCACCAGCCAATCAGGAGCGAGTATGCAAATTAACCCAACAAAGATGGCAGGTTAATTTGCATACGCAGGTGCCGAGGGACCGGGGGCAGGGCAGAATGCTTGTGTTGTTGCCATGGTGTTCGGCACCGCCCAGGCGGCTCTGGGCCAGAACAAAGGCAGAAAGGCGGTTCTGGCCAGAGCGAAGATGGTGCCAGCAGCCAGGGGAAGGAAGGCCCATTCTTGCACGAATCTTCATGCATCGGGCCTCTAGTTTAATATATATTTCTAACGAATAAAGACTTAAAAAAAAATAACAATAACTGGGTGGGGGCAGGCCAGAAGAAGTCAATGGGGGAAAAACGGGACATATGTATTACTTTCAACAATAAAGATTTTTTAAAAACAAAAGAA